CCCTACTACACTCATGGAAAACAGGACTGAAGTTTATTTCAATATCCCTTTTTGATTGCAAACTAAGAACAAAACAAAACAAAACAAAAAAACCCACCTGTCTTCCCAACAATATTACTTAATGACGAAATAATTTAGTCTACGTTTCCAATCTTTCTTATCAGGCAATTTTAACAGGTGCAATAATGTTTCTAAACGAAGAAAAAAATTCCTTTGGGAAAAGTATTTCCAAAAAGAACTTAAATTTCAGTAACATTAAATGAGAAGAAAAGTTATGTGACAGACTACATGAAGGCTCTGGATTTCCTCTCTAAAATACTTTATAAGTTCATAACAAAATGATTTTAAGGTGTCATGATAAAGAGAGATGGAGGGAAATGTGCTAGAAATCCATTTTTAGAAATTATTCTAGCCTTCTTAAATACAACTGCATTGAAGATAGCAGTAAGGAGAGAAAAACCTACCGAGAGGTCATCCCCACGAAGGCCACTCCCTGAGAGGTCGAGGTGGATAAGGGTGGTGGCGGTCAACGGATTGGCACTGAGAGACTGAGAAAGGCTATTCACTCCTGAAACGGCAAGAAAATCCAGTTCAATTTCCACTCCAGGAAACAAAATGAGGTTTGTGAGTTAGTATGTGTGGCCCAGCAGCCCCATCGAACTGCAGGACTGTGGTTAACCGTAAGCACATCCCCAAAAGGTAGCTCAGTAGGACTGCCATTTTTGATATCCCCTCAGGAAAAACAGGTTAGTCACAGACAAAACCAAGTCACTGAATAGGAGAAAGTAATGGAATCAGCTTCATTTTGCTCCACTTCTTCTGATGTGGATGGAAAGGATTTTACTTTGAAGTCTTAGAATGATGCAAGCAACCTAATCATTCTTATCCTTCTCTTAATCCTGCCAGGAGATTCTCAACAGTGTACAATATTTAAATGATGCAGGTGCAAAGTCAGGTACTTTGAGCTACTTAAAGTACTTGGAGTTAATACAGGAATGCACCGCCCTAATGAATGTAGTGTGCTCAGGGCAAAATTTAGACTGAAATGGATTTTACAGAGAAAAAATGATCTGTACACAAAGTAAAAGCAATCCAAAGGAAAAACTGATAATTAACACTCTACATGCTATTTACATAACATAACTGGCACAAGTTAGAATCAACTGAACAAAACTGGTAATACCACCTCAGAAAACAAGAATACGAGGCGGGCAAGATGGTTCTGTGAAGAAAGCCATGTTCTGTTGCATGTGGGTAACAGGCCTGAGAGTCAGGGCCGGGTGCTGGGTGGATGTTTAATTGGCCACTTTTTGTAATGGGGGAGTACAGGCTCTAGGAGGTATGTCACTACCAAATGGGGGCCCAGAAGAGTCTGGTCACTTACTGGGTTCAAAGAGGTCCTAGACAGTGTCCCAGTGATTACTGTTAAGATAATAGGGATTTGGGATATTGCAAAGCTCTTCATGTTTTTACTAAAACTACGTAGTTCTAAATTGTGTATTCTAGAAATATGGCTATTTCTAAATTGAGTATACTTTCGTAAATTATTATTATTATTTTTAATTTTTCAGTATAATTTTGAATATCTCAGCTTGTTTCAACAACTCTAATGCGAAACAGGAAAGAGGGTTTGGGTATACACTTGGACAGTCTCTACTGGGATAAGGGGCCAGGGTCAGGTCTGCCAGCAGAAGCCAGTGAGGCACTCCAAGAAAAACGCTGAAGGGGAGTGATAAAGAACTGACTCCAGTGTCTGACAAAGTCTCCTAAGCCATTTCTCAAGGGTTAGTCCACATTTGGGCATGTGTGGAGAAAATACGGGGTAGTATGAAACTTTATTTAACTGCAAGGAAAATTTCTTGGCTATCAACTCGACACTTATTAAGTGCTCACAAAATGTTTATGAAAGGCTGGAGATTGGGAAATATACATAACTAAGCCCCATTCTTTGCCCTCAATAAGTTCAAAGACAATCAGCAAAGAAACCAAATAAACTCTGGGATGAAAACTCAGTGCTACACAAGGTTATTTATTTATTGCAACAGATCTTTATTTAATGCCTACTGTGTACCGTGCATGGGCTTCTGAGACCCAGGGGCCACTATCCCATCCTCTAAAAGCCAGTACAGTGGGAAACACAGACAACTGAACCATCGGAGTCCAGTGAGCTCAGTACTATCAAAGATGTAAGAAACAATTCTCCAGTTTGTCCTATTACTAGTATAGTAGATGAATCTGCGATGGCCTATAGAAAAGGTTAATTTCTGGAAGTAGCAACTATGATTGTTTAAATGGCTAAATACCCCCCGAAATAAATAAATAATAAAAAAATAAATGGCCAACTTTCTCCAGTTTGTCCTATTACTAGTATTAATGTATTTTATAATGGAATAATTGAGTCCAAAACATGGAAAATACCAGACTCATCAAGAAAATTATTTGTAAAACCATTCTTTAGTGAGGTATGGAAGTAGCAACTATGATTGTTTAAATGGCTAAATACCCCCCGAAATAAATAAATAATAAAAAAATAAATGGCCAACTTTCTCCAGTTTGTCCTATTACTAGTATTAATGTATTTTATAATGGAATAATTGAGTCCAAAACATGGAAAATACCAGACTCATCAAGAAAATTATTTGTAAAACCATTCTTTAGTGAGGTATAACAAACTTCAATAAATAAATTCTAAAATTAGCAGGTCAAATTAGTCTCTACGGCAAAAGGCTCCTTGACAAGTGCCAGCGCTTGGCAGTTGGCCAACATCTGAATAGAATTGGGGAGAATCATGTTATCGGCTCAGCTTCATGCTATTGACAAAGAATGAAAGGCTTCCTCCCCCGCCTGTGAGCCCACACCCACGTGAGGCCTGTGTTAACAAGCACATTAGCAGCAGGAAACTACAACAATACAGGATGGAAAAAATCAAGGCTCTTACAACCCGAACTCAACACAGATTTACATGCCATCCTGGATTCTTGGCAGTCTAGCGATTCTGACCATTCTTCCCATTTATTATTGGAGTGTTTACAGCTGGAAAAGGGTGGTACCAGATGGCCATGCATTGACATAATCTGGCAGCCAGCAGGACATTTACTAGAAATCCAGAAAACTATCATTTCGCTAACATCTGAGGAAGAGAAAGGGTATTAGAGATAGTGTGGGTATCATGGAGATATTTTAAAAGTCTTTCTTGAATTATGGAGCTATACATAGAAATGTTTTCAGAGAACTAAAATATAAATGCTAATAAAATTCAACAAAACCTTAAAACCACAATTTAATCTGAGTTATTTTGAATCTGCAAACTCTTCAGAGTCTATGTGACAGTCTGCAAGAATAATGAAAGCTTTAAGAAATCAGTTTTTTAAATATAAAAACAGTATTTCAAAATATACACTTTAGGAAGGGTGACTTAAAATGAGGACACATATTATAAAACAATATTAATTCTCACACCATTCGTTTTAAAGTACATATATGTTACTGCAGGGAAGAGATAAACGTGGTGACCTTTATTTGTGAAGGAAGCGGGAAATGTGGGGCTATCCTCACGAGGAAGCTGAGGACCAGCCTCCCTAGCACCGCACTTGGACGGACAGGGACTTCAGCGAGTGGTACCTCAGAACCAAAACATGCCTTCAGGAGGATAAATGATCACCACATCCCTCTATTTGTTTTGTAGTAATGAACAAATAAATTAAAATAAATAAATATAATCATTTTTAAATTGTTACTATTTTTAACATGTAGAAAATTCATATAAATTAAGAAAAATAATTAACACTATAATAGACAACAAAAGATGAGAACTAGCAATTCTTCATACAAATGACTAAGGAACAAGGGGGGAAAATTACCTAAGCAATAATTGAAAAAGTTAAAATTAAAATATCAGAACACTTTTGCTCATATGCTTGATGAACAATGAAAAAGGAGAATAATGTCCAGTGATGGTGGGAGAATAAGGAGATTTGTACAAAATACTTAGAGGACAACTTGACAATATGTATCAAAATAAGCTTTAAAAAATGTGCAAACATTTTGATCTGGCAATTCTACTTAACAGGAGTTCATCCTAAAGAAGAAATTAACAAATAACCAATAATTAGATATAGGAATCATGTTAGTATTACTTGCATTACTGAAGAATTAAAACCATCTAAATGTACAATAACAAGCCATCTAAGTAAATGATGGAACATTTTCCATAGTCTGGAATATCATGTGATATATTTAAGAAATGACGACTTAATTCAATTTAAGATACTTCCATTAAACTCTCACAATGGTTCAGGCACGGTGTCAGGTGCTGGAGATATGGAGATGAGGGCCCCATTCTAGTAGGGAAGACACAATGTTTACAGTAATGTGAGATATGTTAGATATGTGATCCAGAGTGACACAAAGAAAAAAGTAACAGATTCCCTTGAGGCCTCAGGAATAGGAAAGACGTCTCAGAAGAGATGGTCACACAGAAGGTTTTATAAAATAAACTGAAGTTCTCCAAGAATATGAGATGTAAACGATAACAGAACATATATATATTGGTCTCTGCCCTCCATTCCTGGCACAGGGCTCCTAAACCCTGTAAATTCCTAATGGATAAGAGTATCTCTTAGGAGCATCTTTTGTACTAATGAGGCCACTCTGGGTGGCTCCTGGGTGGGTGCTGATCACCAGAAAGACCAAGCCGTAATTGGGAGCTTGGAATTTTCAGCTCCACCCCCATTTTCCAGAGAGGGGAGAGGGGCTGGAAATGGAGTTAATTGATCAGGCCTCCGTGAGGAAGCCTCCTAAAATCTCAAAAGTATGGGGTTCAGAGAGCTTCAAGGTGAGTGGCACATCAACACTGGGAGGGTGATGCACCCCAACTCCACGGAGACAGAAGTTCCTGTACTCAGGACCCTCCCAGACCTCATCCTACGTACCTCTTCATCTGGCTGTTCATCTGTATCCTTTGTCATGTTTTTCAATAAACCAGTAAACGTACACCAGTTTTTACCTGTGTTCTGTGAGCCACTTCAGCAAATTAATCAAACCCAAGGCTGGGGTCTTTGGAACTTCTGATAACCTGGGCTTGAACTGACGTCTGCAGAAGGGGATGAGGACAGCAGTCTGGTGGGACTGAGCCCTTAACTTATGGTAGACAACATCAGAATTGAGGTGACTGGTGTCGGAGAATCGCTTGGTGTGGGGAAAAACCTCCAAACATCTGGTGACCAGAAGTTTCAGAAGTGAAGTGTTTCGTGTGGGTAGGAAAGGAGACATACAGGAAAGAGTAAGCAGGAGGGGAAGGACTAAAGTTGTCTCTACACAGGATGAAAGAAAACTTTTCAAAGAGAATAAAAGCATGTACAAAGGCATGCTGTATGCAGTGATAGTTCAAATGTTACTGTGGGGTGCTGATGTGGCAAAATATTAGAACTGACACGTTTGATGAGCAACTGGAAAAGTGAGAGGCGGGTGATTGGAGTCAGGGGCGAACGGGGTGGGACGGGACAATTCCCAGAGCAGGAAGTAGAAGAGGCGACTGGACAGTGAGGCCCAGCAGTTTTCTGTAGAGCAGACGGTCCAGCTGACAGTTGGGTGGGGGACAGGGGGATTTACCTGCGGAAGCAGGGAGGCTATCGCTTCTCCTATGATGAACCAAGAGAAATACAACCCATTGCCTCTAGGAATGTGGGGCAGGAGGCAGGAGGCAGCCAGGCCAGGTGGGCATTCCATGTTTCAAAGTTAAAGAAGTTAACGACTTCACATGTACTTCAAAACTATTCTCAACTTTGAAAGCACTTCGCTTTACACAACCAGAATTCCAATCACATAATTTCTTTATCTTAAAACTACCAGAGTATATATAACTGCATAATAATTCTAACTATTTAAGGTAGCATGGCACAACAGAAATATTATAGACATAAAGTTAAGTAAATAAGATATACTGTACCTTTGGGTGACAATGAGGTTTTAGATAAATTTAAATGCTTCAATCCCTTTGGGAGTTTGGCAAATTGAATACTTAAAGAGGATATACCTGAGGAAAAAAAGTATTAAAATTTTCAAGTTCTCAGAATTTCATTTGTTTTACAAGACCTGAATATTAATTTAAATTTAATTCTAATATAAGGGATCATTTTTGCCTTTCTAATGTCAGACCTTGTTTTCCAATCATCTACCATCATGCCTCCCTTTCTTTCTGTCCTAGGAGAAAAGGTTGTTTAATTAAGCATAATAATATCAAAATTTTACCATTAGACATGTTTGCCTTTGTCCCAAGTACACCTTTTCCTCATAGTCCTGTTTCAAATGCAAATACTCTTGGAAAGAATGATATAACTCCCCTCTTTTCTTTTTAACTTGTGTCTTAATGAGCTGATTGCCCTTCTGGGTGAGCAAATGTGTGCTATTTAAAGGTTGTCAAGAAAATGAGTATTGTCTACGGCCATGCCACCCTGAACAAGCCCAATCCCATCTGATCCCGTCTGATCTCAGAAACTAAGCAGGGTCGGGCCTGGTTACTACTTGGATGGGAGACCACCTAGGAGCAGGTGGTGTAGGCATAAAAAATTTAAGAAGTAAGCGATTGCAAACTGACAAAGTCCTTGCAGTCTGTGAGGTCAACCAAGGTTGCCTCACCTTAAAAAAAAAAAAAAAAAAGGAAAGAAAAAAATCAAAAATCAAAATGAGTATAATATTAACTATCAGATAACAGCTTCACTTTTAGCAGATAGATTCCAATACTTAATTGCCTTACAGCTAATAACCTCAGACAAAGCATCAGAGCATGTTTCAACTTCTTAAAGGTAGGTTTTGTAACTTATAATAACTTCTGAAAATTTTACAGTATTGAACATTGGACAGTCTCCAAATTTAATGGCCAGATTAGGAGACTGTAAACAAACACAAGCTCACTCATCTAAAGACTGCAATGAATATAGACTGTTTCCTGGGAGGAAAGAAATAATACTGGAATGTTTGCCCTTCCTACAGGTCCTTCAACCACTTCATGTTGCACACAAGTCATCACCTCCTAGGGGCATGTTCTTGGCCAAGCTCCTAAAACAGTATTAACCATGTTCCCTTAGCGATTCTCAGACTCCAGGCACCATTAAATACTAGGGCAGTGCTGCGTGCCGCCCTATTATTTAACCCCAAGTTTTCTACAAGTTTTATCAGAGTTTGTCACAAAAACAACCTAAAAGTCATGCACCTTGACTAAGCCTCTGGACAGGTTTTCCCTGAGGATGGTGGGTGTCCTGGGAGCCCATGCCTATCTCTCCATAGCGTTTCATTGTCAAATGTGTTTGACAATCGCTGGAACAAATAACATTAAACAGGTTTTTTATCTGAATATTTCCAGCAATTAGAATATGCTAATCTATAATGTTAACTGCAAAGAGTGGATGGGCCTGATATTTAGTTGATACATTCTTGCAAAAGAATGAATAACAAGTTAATGGGGGGAGAGATAAAAGATGGGAGTAACTTTCCAACTTGATTAATCCAAAAGGTAAAAAACGTACTACAAATAGTCCCAATCATCCTCTATTCAAGAAAATTAACCCATTGTTAAAAACCTCTCTGTAAAGCAAAAGAAGCCCAATGTGAAAGAGTATATACTATATAATTCTATATTTATGAAGTTCAAGAATAAACCAAACTAATCTATCCTAACAGAAGTCAGTGACTAGTTATCTTTTCTGGGAGTGGAGAGCAGGAGTGGTAACCATTGGGGCAAAACACAAGAGAAGCTGTGGAGAACTAGAAATATTCTATTTATTGATCTTGGTAGTGGTTGTAGGAAAGCATTTAATTTGTAAACATTTATTAAGATGTCAACTTGGGGCTTGATTTTTTTGAATGTATATTATACTTCAAAGAAAAAATTACTTGAAAAAGTCAGGTATGGAAAATAACAGAATAAAATCTAGATGGCTTTAGATTTGAGTTTTTAGATACAACATCAAAGGCAAAATCCATAAAAGAAATAACTGATAAGCCGGACTTCCCTAAACATTAAAATTTTATGCTCTATGAAAGACAATGTCAAGAGAATGAGAAGACAAACTACAGAATGTAAGGAAATATTTGCAAAAGACGTGTCTGATAAAATATATCAAAGAACTCTTAAAACTCAACAATAAGAAAATAAACCACCTGATTAAAAAACGAGCCCAAGATCTTATCAGACACCTGAGCAAAGAAAATATACAAATAAGCATATGAAAAGATGCTCCACATCATATGTCTTCAGGGAAATGCAAATTAAAACAACGAGATACCACAACACACCAATTGGAACAGCGAAAATCTAGAACACTGACAGCACCAAATGCTGACGAGGATTTGGAGCAACAGAAACTTTCACTTATTGCTGGTGGGAATGCAAAATGGTTTAGTCACTTTGGAAGACAGTTTGGCGGCTTTTTATACAACTAAACATACTCTTAACTATGATCCAACAATCATGCTCCTTGGTACTTTCCCTGAAACTATAGACACTGTGCAAAAGGCAAAACTACAGAGACAGTAGAAAGATCAATGGTTGGGGATGGGGGAGATGAATAGGTAGAACACGAAGGACTTTTAGGGCAATGAAAATACTCTGTATGACACTATAATGGTGGATACATGCCTTTACAAATTTGTACAAACACACTGACTGTACAACACTAAGAATGAACCTTAATGTAAACCATGGACTTTGAGTGACGATGTGTTGATGTAGGTTCAACTGTTAATGAAGGCACCACTCTGATGGGGATGTTGATAAACAGGGAGGCTGTGCATGTGGAGGCAGAAAGTACATGTGAAATCTCTATACAATCCTTGCAATTTTGCTATGACCCCAAAACTGCTCTAAAAATATATAATCCTTTAAAAAAAATTAGGTATGAAAGAGGAAAGAATACCAGATTCTCACTTTTAAGTTTTGATAACAGTTACCTGCCTACTCATGACCAATTCTTTTATATATTTTTATACTCAACAATGTTAAAAAAACAAAATCTCCAAAGCCCTATTCCATGTCTTCAATCATTGTGAAAATATTATATTAGATCAAAGTTAAAACCTACCACTAAACTTCAAATAAACTTGTTTTGCTTTGTTCTTTGAGAAAATGACCACTTTAAAACTTTTGTGTCAGTCACACCTATAACGCCTCATAAAACTATAAATGCCTATGACCAAATGCAAGACCAGAACAGAACAATTATTTTACACTACTGGTGACACCCACCCATTCATTTATTCTTTAAGCATAAACTATCTTTTAAAAAAGGAAGAAGGTAGACAGAAAGGAATAAAGACTCCAGAAATACTTTTCTCTGGAAATTGAATTATCACACTGCAAATAATGAAAGTAATAACTAGTGAGGCTCTTAAATAAAGGGGGAATGAAGTCATGTTTGATAATTTATTTAAAAAGAAAAAAGCAGGACCAGATAAATAAGATTAAAGGTAAACAGGACTAAAAGCAGATATAAGATAGTCTGGTTCAAGTAGTTTTTATCAAATTCTAGACTAAGTTAATAGCTTCTTTTTTGACAAATGTTTTAATTTCCTAGGTACTCACTAGTCACAAATACACTTCTTCTTTAAAGAAACACCTGTGCTAAGTGCTAATGGAATGAAAGGCACAAATGGGCCCAGCACTGTTCGTTTTTTTAAATGAAAAATAAACTGATGTATGAAAAAAGGAAACATTATTACACAAAGGTCACTCATTTTAGCAAACTTCAGAAACAAGGTTCTGGCAACACGAATAAATCAAGAGTGGTTGGCAGCCAAAATCTCAGGAAAAACAAGCAAATTAACCTGCCCTGTACTTTCTGGAGCTGCTTACTCAATAGAGCCATATAAGAAACCAATACTGGAGAAAACAGTTCCCTATGAAGAAAGGATAGAAGATACTTTTCAGCTTTTGGACAAAACTGTTCAATTCTGTCCCCCAAATAAAGCAAAATATAGTCAAGCTGTGAATTAAAAGTAAATTTAAGCTAAAAGCTTTTGTTTGGAGACTTTACTGGTTGAATTACCCTATGATTTATTTTTTTTAGTATGTGTCAAATTTGCAAGAAAACAATGTTCTAATTTTTACTTCTCCTTTGAAAACAAAACTATTATAGCTCCTGCTTTGAAATATTTATGCCTAATAAAAAAGTAATTATAAAATGTTTAGTATTATAACGTGCCATCTGATGTTATCAACTTACAAACACAGGAAATTAAATTTGACATTGCAGATTTCACCCATTAATCATACATGAATTTAAAAATCTATAATACCATATAAAATTCTAATAGTGGATATTCTGGAATCAGAATCAGAATGATTCACAAAGTAGAAAAAAAGTTTAAGGAGGTCCTGGCTAATTGAAAGCATCAATATTAATAATTTAACAAAATTCTGCCTGTGGAGTTCTAGCAACATGATACAGGAAACAAAAGGCTTCCTTCTTGACTGTTAGAAAGCATATAGATTTGAACACTGTAGATGTCAGAATATAGATGAGTTATTTAGATATCTACCGATACCTATGGCTTCCATGGAGTGTTCAGAAATACTACAAAAAGCGAACAGACAAATAAAATACAATGAAATATTCTTATTTCAAAAATAAGGCTGAGAGAAAGAGATTCAAGAACTAGTAATACAGGAATAAAAGATTAGTGGAAAAAATAAAGTCAGTACACCTAACTTTTAAGTGTCCTAAAATCCAAATCTGTGCAGTTTTTAAAATAATGTTTTACCTGTGTAACCATGAAAATATCAATTAAATATGGCTGACATCACAACTCCAAAGAAAATTACTTTCTAGGTTATAACTATCATAGAGAAATCTGGCATCTTTAAATATTCAAATGACTACTTAAGAAAATTTACTGACATGCTATGGACTAAGCCAGTGTTTTTCACATGGCGTGCACAAAATTCTTTCCTTTCACTTCCAAAGTTAAATCAGACAATCAATCACAATCACAGTCTAAGAGACTGACTGATTGATTACTCAAAAAATCCTGGGAGGAAACCTGACAAGTGGTATCAGGTACAACTCCACGAGACTTTGTCTAAATCACATAAATACACATTTCCTCACTCGTAAAGGGAAATGATAATACTTGCACTATCTAGCTTCACAAAACTATTTTGGGAATCAAATGAAGTAGAAAAGCTAATACTTCTGGAGTTTACAGTAGCTGACATGCCATTCTTACCTGTTTATGTGCATTATCTCATTTAATTCTTAGAATACCCTAGGTGACAGATATAGATAAAGACTGAGGCACAGAGAAGTTAGGTAACTTGTCCAAAGAAACAGCTAGAAACAGGCGAAATTCAAAACAGAACACATTTAGTTTGACTCCAGATCCCACTAATATACACTAATAGAAACAGGTAGAAACAGCTAGAAACAGGCGAAATTCAAAACAGAACACATTTAGTTTGACTCCAGATCCCACTAATATACACTAAGGGGTATAAAAGACATAAAGTACCAAAAAATGTTGGCAGCAATTCTAGAATTTATTTCACATCTTTTTTAGAAGATCAAATCAGAGCCACCGCCAGAAGGTCAGGAAAAAAAACACTTGGGTATTCCAGGTCAACATTTCCAAAGAAAAATCATTCTGAGATAGGATTTTAAATCATCTTCAAACAAAATAATGAAACTTAGAACAAAATGAGGGGAGGAAAAGGACAGACAGTCCCAACAAGGCTGAGATCATAAAAACTTGGGTAATTGGGAAGGATAACCAGGAAAAACAAAATACAACCTGCAGCACTTAGGGAAGTAAAGTATGTGAAATGAGCAGAGAGGAAAGCTATGTTCTCTGAAAATGCTCAACTTTGATCCAAGAAGTAATGTTACATCCACAAGATTAGTGACCAGGAGATGACCAAGAACCACAACACTGAGTTAGGCCAGGGAGCTCACACAGGACTAGTTAACAATGTTCAGCCACAGCAGTGACGTTGAGTCTCTTCTACCACGACCCACACAAAGGAACAGAGCTGATGTGGTGATGCAGGAACCTCACACAAAAATAAATACATTAGAAAACTAAAACCAAAGCTTTCCTGAAATATACACTCTGATATTTTCCGTTTTTTCCTTTACCAAAATAAGATTTTGAAGTTGTTCGAAAGACACTGAATAAGGAAGGAGACCTAAGACTCAATGGATGTAGACTCCAAATTCATATTCTGTCTCATCCCCACCAAAGGTCTCCGTCTCGCCAAAAAGTTGCTTTCTTTGGTAATTTCTTTTTTTAGCTTCTTGGAAAAGTGATCTTCTCCCATAAACCATCTTCGTTTTTTCTTTTCTTTTTTTTTTTTTTCCTAGAGTAGAACTTTATTTTCAGGAAAGACATGTTTTTTAGAGATGGGTATTTAAAAATAAAATCAAGGTAGATCTAATATGTTCAACAAATTATGTGTGTGTGCGGGCAAGAGGGTTCAGCCAGAGGTGAAGTGGAAAGGCTCTCTAGCATTCCCTTATCACCTCGCTGCAACCGGAAATCCACAGGTGGAAAGGCATCCAGGAACACAGTCCTGGATGAAGTCATTCTGTCTCTGCATCCTAAATACTACGCACTGGCCCACCTGTAAATCGGTGCAGCACGCAGCTCCTCCTCTGGACCACGACCTTGGAAGGAGGCTCAGTAAATCTCTGCAGTTTTAATGTTGATAGTAATGTCATAAATTACTAGAAAGTGGTTTTCATTTTTTTCCTGGTCATTTAATTCTGTCAGACGTAAGATGACTAAGCGAATGCCATCTTCTTGTCTGTCAAATTCGCTAAGAAGGTGATGAGTCAGTTTTTGTGATAACTGCCCATTGTCACTGAAGCTGTCCACGAAGTACACTTCCAGCCTTCCACATTGAGCGTGGTCAGAAAAAGATTTTACGGCATTCATGATCAAAGGGACCTCAGCTTCGGTGTCAATTCCATCACAATGTGTCAAGCAGGTAGCCCCATTACCTATGTGCCTCAAGACCACAATGTGACAAGTGGTGGCATCAGCAGAACCCAGAATGAAGATGGAGACATCCTTTGGGGAGGTCCCTGCAAGCTCCTTTTGCTGAACATACAGAGGCCCTGGGGTCCCATTTGTTAGACTAACGTCTGAGAATTCTCTTTCCTCCGGAAGTGGGTGGGCTTGGACAAGCTCCTCAGCAGACTGCGGCAGCCACACTCACTGCCCCTTGACCAGCAGTGGCACTGTGGAGGCGGCCAGCCGCCTGGGGAAGGCCCAGGGATGTGGCGGCCTCTAATATTTTCTATTCTCTTCTACTTCCTGTGTTTTTAATGCTTGTCATGAATTATTAAATTGATCTCATGATCTGCTAATGGGTCTTGACCTACAATCAGAAAATGCACTCTGTTAGAAGGCCAAGAGCAAGCTGGGGACAGGCCTGGCCCTGCAGCCAGGATGAGAAGAGCTCATGTGTGTGCTGTCACTGCCACGTGTGGCTCTCTCAGAGAGAGAGCAGAGCCTGGGGCATCTGAAGCACTGCACATACACATTGCACCTCTGCTTCCAAATCATACCTAAACCTTCTTCACCACAGCCCCTTAACGACAGAAGGCCACCTGTCCTTTCTACACCGTATGATGAGGAGACTGAACTATAAATATACGATTTAACTACGAATGCTTGCCTGCTTTTTATTGTTTTCAAACCTAAAATACTGTCATTGAAAAGCTCAGAAACAAAAATTATGAACACTTTCCCCCAGATTTAAATTTCTATGAATATTTTATTCAGTTGGATTCCTTGTAGAATTTCCATCCAGTAGCTGAGAAGCTACCTGCGATCTTCAGGTATTTTGCCTAAATTTAAAAACAACAACAACAGCAACCTAGGAAGAATTGGTGTTCAGGAGCTCAGCCTAAGAGTGCAGACAGGTGGGAAACATGGTGCCAAGAGCACAGGAAATACAGCAAGAAATGAGTCTAGGGGGCAGAAACGAGGAAAGTTTAGCTTGAGAAAACATTTTCAGGAGTGTCACAAATTGAGTGTGTGTGAGCAGATGCCATACTGGAGAATAGGTGTGTACACACGAAGCTGAGGAAAACATCCTTGATATATGATTTTAACATCTGTGAATAAACTTCAGGTAGATGAAAAGACACACAAAATCAGGTCTCAGAGATAGGAAGATGGAGAAAAAAGGCAGGAAAATGTCATCATTGAACACATGTTCGGACTCCACACAACAAAGAAATCTCTATAAACTTCGCTATAATTTACAAGTGCAATTTAAAACAAAAAAACTACAGAAAATTAAAATTATATAAAATCCAACTCAATTTAAAGAAAATATTTATGGATTATACTACTGGTTGCAAAGTGGTACCTCACTGTGGTTTGAGTTTGCCTTTCCCTAATGACTAAGCGTGTTCTTCCTGGTCTGCTGCTCCCTGGGTTCCACATCCGTAGGACCTGCTTCCAATGTCTGCCTCCAAAGTCTTGCCTTTCAGTAGACAAGTAGGTGTGAGTTCATCTTAAAAACAAAACCTTCTGAAAGGTGATTTACACTTTGTCCCATTCTCCCCTCTGTAACATCTGACGAATGGAGAGAACACCTGTTTTCTTTCCAGAACTGATGATGCCCAGGGAAGCCCCCACTCCAGGAATGCACATCCATGACCGCCAGCTGTGGCTGATTCTAGGAAGGCCTTCCATGGGGTCTGGTTTTCTAATACAGGCTCCACTTTCCTCTAGATTCACTACGATTCAGATGCTGGGAAGCTACTCTTGAAATGTCTGCTTGAACACCAGACGGGTGTCTCTTTCAAAGAATAATGACGTCCATATCAGAAACAAAAAGCAGAACTGAGTGTCTCTATCAGTATCTTCAGCTCTGTTTAATAATTAATCCTCATCAAATGCATAACATTACAAGATAAAAGGCCCTTATTCGACAATGCTGGAAAACATCTGCAACAGATAAAGAAAACAAAATATTCCCTATACGGATGAAGCTATTTTTCTTAAACCTGGTCCGTCCACATTCTCTGAGAATTCAAATTCTTGAGCTTCACATTCTAAACCTACTGACTCTTCCCTCTACCCAAAATTTCCCTCTACTAAAACTTTCTTCTGCCTCATCCTGAATTTGAATCCTTCAACGTCTCCCTATTCTTACACTCAAATCTTGTGAAACATTAAAACACATCTGTGGTAGGCAGAATTGCACGATGGTCCCCAAGACTCCTGCACCCTGGTATACAGATCCTGCATAACTTCCTGTGTGTGGTGTGGACCACTGAGTATGATGGGATAGCACTTAACATGATTAGGTTACGAATCAATTGATATTTGAGTTCATCAAAAAGGAGGTTGTCCTGGGGGGGCCCTGACCCAATCATGTGCTCTGTTTAAAAGAAAGTAAAGCATCTCAGAGATATGCTCCTGCTGGCCTTGAGCATGATATAAACCTGTTGTGAGAGAATGGGCCACATGGTAAGAACCTCAGCTTAGCCTCTGAGCCTGCAGTGGTCCCTAATGGGCAGCTAGCAAGAAAATGGTGACCCTAGTCCTATAGTCCCAGAGAAATTAATTTTCTCAACAAAGAAGACCCCAAGTCACAGGTAAGATCGCAATCTGGCTAATAACTTGATTTTGGCCTTGTGAGACTGAGTAGAGAACCCAGCCAACCTCTACCCAGACTGCCAACCCAAGCAAACTGTAAGGTAATAAATGAGTCATTTTAAGCTACCAAGTTTGTGGCAATTTGTTACACAGCAATAGAGAACTAATACAATAGTTTAAAAATATTATCCTCCTTTCTGTTTGTATCACTTGAAAAGCCATTCATTGGATGATAGAATTTTAGCAAGAGTATTTTCATCAAGGGGTGGAAATGGAAGCCAATAAGAACTAAAGCAGCACTTATAACATAATTACAGCTAAGCTGATTCTATTCTTCAGTCACGGCAAAATTAAACTCCCTAATCCGTTTACAATTCTGGCATCAATGGTCTTGTAAACTCTACGGTACCTCGGTCCTCCAGTGGGTTGCCAGCAAGGTCAATCGTGTGGAGTCCTGAGCTTGGATTATGTGCTAGAGCACTGGCCAGTTTCTGGGCAAAATCTCTGGAAGTAAACGAAACAATATTAAATAACACAAGATGCAAAACTGTTTAAATAAAACACTTAAAGCTAGAACAGCTAGAGTGAAAGCTAAAAAAAAGCTTCTTTACAATATTAAATTATGCATCATATATTTGTTAACACCCCATCTAATTTTACACAGGTATATAACCTCATTTGAGAATCTAAAGTCACAGCTGAAATACGGTTCATTCTGATTAGCCAAAACTTCATTCAGAAGCCAAAAGAAAATATATAATTATCCCATTAAAGACACATTTTCAGAACACTATTAATAGTACTAGGTGGCCCCTCCATAACTTAAAAAAAAAGGTCCTGAATTGAACATGCTTTTCATGAAAAATGCAATCAGCTATTCGCTATATCTTAGTTCTCATTTCATGCAACACTCACGAATGCAAACCTGATTGCTCTAATTATTGAGTTTAAAGGCTACAATTGCTAGCACTATATTTTAACAAAAATCAAAATCACTATTTTAGGTATGTTTAACTTAAAATAATGCACTAAGTGCTATGATTGTGAAACTGCCAACCGTCACTTAGTAGCATTAAAGTTTTGTTCTAGCAGATTCAAACTCTATGCCCCACCTGAGACTTAAGTATAGACTACCGAACCACGAGATGAAGATGATGAAAGTGTGAATTTGGAAAGGGAGGGAAATGGTTAAAACAGATCAAAGCAAAGCAGTAAAATCATGAAACAGGTTATTACTACAACTGCCATCAATGATACTAACGAAAGCTAACATGTAGCATCTAGAATATGAAAGATACTGTTCTGAGCACTAATATTATCTCCATATTAAAGATAAAGAGACTAAGGCACAGAGAGTTGAAACAACTTGCTCAAGGCCATGAGGCATCTGGCTTAAGGGTCTATGCTCTCCACCACTACCGCCATGCACCATCGAACACATCAAGTGACACAACAGTAAACAATGTTATAAAATCCATGAGCTTTGGGATAATGATGGGGATTATAGGGATTTTCTTTTTAAGAAGGGAAAACATGATACTCTAAATGTGAATAGCCCAATTTTTTAAACTATGTATTAATTTTAGAGGAAATGGCAAAAAGTTTTAAAGCAACATATTCATATATTCAGGAAAATACTCACGTTCTAAGTCCAGCATTTTCCAACACCAATTCTTCCAATCGATTAGACCTACTCACCACTCTTAAAATCTGTTCACAGACATCAGTGGACTGCAACAGAAAACATTCTTTAGCCATTAAGTCTACAAATGAGCTCACTTCATTGTTATAAACCTATGCAGATATAAAGTTGCAATTAAACAAATCATTCATTCATGCATTCATTCAGTAAACCTTAACTGAGAATCTACTACCACTCGTCATCATGATAAAGGTCCTGAGGATACAATGACATAAAGGACAAAGTCTCTGCCTTCAAGAGTGTTCCGTCTAGCAGAGAAATCAGACTAGAAAGTATACTTACAATAGAATAATTAAAAGGCCATTTGGATAACGCCATGGACACAGAGAGGTGCATCTCACTCAGTCTTGGGAAAACCAAAAGGAATTCTCAAAGACAGTGATGTGCAAAGTGGAGAATAAAGACTAAATGGTGATGATGAGGAGGAGGATTTCTTTACTAAGGTCTGGTCTTGTGCCAGGCACTGAGCTAAGTCCTTGATGTGTATTTCATTACAAGCTGTTAATTATTATTCCCTTTGTATAGATAAAAAATTAAGGTTTAAAGATGTTACGTACTTTAAGGGGATGCTAAGACTTGATAAACATAAACTACTGTTTTGATGTTCCCCTTAGTGCTCTCTAAAAGACAGCAAAGTGGGAAACAGCATAATAAAAATAAAGAGCTTGATAAATAATGGCTTCGTATTAATAAACAGTATGTTTTTAAAAATTACATACATAATTATAAAATTATCCTGTCGAAATACTTTAAATGCTTAGGATAGAACATTAAATGAAAATGTATAATTAAAAAGAAGTGTTCAATAAAGATTACAAAAATTGAAATGGTTAATGTATGTAGTAAAAGTTTTGAGAAGACTAGGAAAAATGAAAAGGTGTGCCTGGTGGTGGAACTGTGCATTTTTTCTTTTAAATTTGTACTTATTAATGTTTTTACATTTATTTATATCCTGCCTTATTCCAAAACTAATTTAAGATGGCTCCTGACCTTAAAACTATTTAAATATTAGAAAGTGATTTTAAAAATCTCATTACAACTTAGGGTCTATTTAAATCCTTTATGAATTTTTAAAAAGGGGGTGAGGGAATCATGTTCTGTGTGCCATGGCATACAACAGTCAAAGTGGTTTCTTTTCTTAAATACCACATAAAAATGTTACAGTTCTTTGATTCAGCAGATCATAAATATGCAACTGGATTAACCATTTTTAGAATGGTCTGAAATGCTGCGGAAGTTCTAAAGTATCCTTCAGAAAACCTGACTTAGGAGCACACCAAGTCCACAGCAGCTACGGCTCTTACAATTCTAATGTGCTATCTGGCTTCATTCAGTCTATCATGTGGATTGCACACTGTTCCGGGTTTCTAATGTGTCCCTCAGATTAATGAGGGAAGAGGAAAATTAATTCCAATTGACCTGATGCCCGCAATTTACATTATGCTGATGGTGGTGATTTTCAAAATGGTGACTCCTAATCAGAATAATTCTTTGTCTTACAATATACAACAAGGGGAACTGATCTTATTCTGTTGTCATGATAAAAAGTGATTATTCAAACTATGAATGTTTATCCAGGAGATATCCTAATTTCCAGAAACAATCATAGTATCATGACCTTTGTAGGGCGACCTCATAGAGCACCCACAAAAATAACTTACCACAGGAGGACTTTCACTTACCCACTGGGTGTAACCATGGCAATAACATTTATAAAACGGAGTATATGAAAAGTGTGTCCAACTTTTCTTTAAGATGCCAGTGGGGGAGAGGTATAACAAGTTATTCAGGATTACATTAGTGGCGCTACTTTTTGTTAAGTGCCAACTACATGAAAGGCACTGCTTTCTACACTGAAGAATATACAGTGATGAAAATTTTAAAGAGACACACACAAACCTAGATACCAAATAAAATGTGACCATTATAGCAGTGTCTGCTGCATATTCAGCCCTACATTCACAGATTTGTG